TACAATCACAAGAATGCAAAATAATACTCCATGTATGTACGATACAACAAAATACACTCTATTTTCATGTATATCTAAAAAAAAAAAAAAAAAAACACCTTCCATTGGGAGGCTCCTATTCACCTTCCAGGGCTGGGTTAGATACCCTTATGTGGGCTTTACAGTGTTAATGACAAGGCCCAACCCTGAGCCACCATGCTTCTTAATTCTTCATGAATGTTGTCAGTTTTTGCAAATGTAGTCACTTTTCACACTGCTGGCTTCTTTTTCTTTTTTTTTTGGATTCAGCCTAAATACCTTCTCTTCAGAGGCCGTTCTTTTTCTCTTTTTGTGGTACCTGGGATTGAAGCCAGGAGTGCATTATCACTGAGCTACCTCCACCCCCAGCCCTTTTTACTTTATTGCCTTCTTTATGAAACAAAGTTTTGGTAGGTTGCTGAGACTGTCCTCAAATTTGTAATCCTTCTGCCTCAGCCTCCCTAGTACTGTGATTACAGGTGTGCACATCTTTTGTCATCACTCTACCTAAATGAGATTCTCATCTTCAATTACCTATTCTAGTCTCTCACCACCCTGTCAACTCTGTTTCATTTCTAACACCTATCACAATGTGCAATTACTTGATCTCCTTTATTTAGATCTTTTTTCTGTTCTCCCACTAGAATATAAAACCATGGGGAAGGGAATCTACTTTGCTTATCAGTGAATATCCTGTAGTGACCAGCAAGGATCTCCTCTCCAGAAGCACTATACTTGCCTAGATCACTAGTGTGTTCTTGGCACCAAGCACACATGGGGGCATTTAATAAATGTTTAGTGAATGAAAAAAAAATAGAAATTCTTCAAGAAATCCCTAATATATGGAAATGATCTGAGAAGTTAAAGCCTTTCTTTTTTTTAAAAAAAATTTTTTTTAGATGTTGATAGACCTTTATTTTATTCATTTATATGTGGCACTGAGAATTGAACTCCATGCCTCATACATGCTAGGCAAACACTCTAACACAGAGCCCCAGCCCCAGCCCCCTAAAGCCTTTTTTTTTTTTAAAGGTTATGCAAAATTACTGTATTTACAAAAATGGCACAAAAGAGAATTCAACAGTCGATCACATGCATACATCATTCACATCTTCAACAATGAAAGATATTTAACACTACAGAACTAAATAAGAATAGTAGCTTCAGCTAGTATTCAGTGCAGCTGTTAAGCACTGAAGTCACATAAATTACACCAGGATGGGCAAATATTGCCCAAGACAATTCTATTGTTAAAGCTGAAATAGGCTTAAGGCCATTCAAGTTCAAGCACAGTTATACAAATCTTTCAAAGCCCCTCCTATTTTTATTTGAATTTGTGATCTTTCTTCAAACTTGTGATCTTAAACTTCTGTTTGACAAAATCCAGAAGGAAAATCCAGAAGAAATCAATACAGAGGTTACATTAATAAGAGTAACATACACAGCTATAATTAAGATAAGCGAGGAAGGCGAAACATTAAAATTGTAATATTTGCTTATTACTTGTTGGAACCTATATTAGGATTTAGGTAATATAATCAAATATTTTCAAGTAGATTACTTATGTTACTCTAAAATGTCCTTTTCATCAGTGTCATCAGCGCACTGTTAAAACTAATCAAAACCTCTACACATGTATATTCCCTTACAATAGCAGCACACACTATCACTACCTGCAAAGCTGTCAGTCTCCTTTAAACGACTTAGTGAATGAAAGGAATAAAAAGTGGATAAGTAACATATGAGGAGAAATAATGGGAATTAGAAAATCAATGCAGGTCAGCTCTTTTAATCAGCCAGCCAGCTTGCTAGCAACATGGGATGGTTTCCCTTGAGGAAGGTCCTGTGGAGTGGGAATATGGTCACCAGTGACCTCTGTCTTATCCGGGGCTGCAGTAGGAAGTTGCTTGTTCTTCATCTTTGCTTTTGCCATGTTGTAATCCCCAGAATCAAAATATTTTTGCCCTTTCTGCAATCGTTTCCTTAAAAAATCGGAACCTCCAGGCTTTTGTCCCAGGTGAGGATACCTTCTTTTAATTTGGCTTCTTCAGCTTTCTCTGGACTAGTCACTTTATCTTCCATTTCCTTCTGCTCCTCCGTCGAGGCCACCTCTGGGACTTCCGCGGACACAGCGTTCCCTCTGCCTAGCCCTGCTCCTCGGGCCCTGCTCCTCGGGCCCTGCTCCTCCGGCCCTGCTCCTCCGGCCCGGTGCGACAGAACATTTCCTCTAAAACCTTTCTTTCTTTGACCCTACATGATCATATTCCTATCATTTTTCATATTGCAAAAGATCTTTTTTGGTCACTTCCGAGTTGGGAAGTAGAGAGATCAAACAAAACAAAACAAACCACTAAAAGGCAATCAGTCCTGAAAAAACTCACCCTCTGTTACATATCCTGTGACATGATGAACAATGGAATTGTTACCACCCAGTACAAGTACCTCTTGTATCATGGTGCTATTAAGAGGATTTCATTTATCTTTCTTATGTTCCTAACTGCTTATAATATTCTGGTTGGCCAGAATAAGACTTTATAGAATATTCTTTTTACCAATATTGCCTGCTTCAGAAAAGCTAATAGTATTAAAACAAAATAAAGACAACTTCTCAGATTTAGATGAAACTTTATTTATACAAAAAAATTACACTTCAGGAATTCTTTTTTTTTCTAAAAACAGTCTTTTAATTGACATGCTTAAAATGAAAAGACTAGAAGGGGCAGTGAACAGCTTTTTAATCCTATACATCTCATAGTCATAAACTTTTTTTTTTGGGGGGGGGGGCATTGGGGATTAAGCCCAAGGCTTCACATGTGCTAAGCATGTGCTTTACTACTGAGCTACCTCCTCAGTCCCTATTAAACAATATTCTAGGCTGCAAAAAAATATACCTCTTCTACAACAGCATTAGTTTGTGTGCCTGCAGACTTAAATCTCATGATGGCATCAAAAGCCAAAATAAAATAAACTAATATTCTGAAATAGAATACTTTGCTGTTGTTACATGGGCACTATCTCTAGCCACTTCCCTCCACATTTATTCTTCCTCTTAGGTTTCTCAATGGAGACCTTTTTAAAATAATAATTACATTATCATGGAAAAAGTGAAAACAAAAGTGATAAGAATCTCTTGTAACTAGTTTAAAAAGCTATTCCTCATGATTCTACATTTAGGATAATGTTTTGGAATTAAGAATGTATGTAACCACTGTTAACTAATTATGGAGCATGCAAGCCTTAGTACTATGTAAATCTCAACTTCATTTCTTAAAAAATCATTAATTCAAAGAATCATTAAATGTCCAGTGTTGCTACATCTAAATAAAATTATAAATTATTAGTAAGATTTTGGCTTTCAGAGCAGGACCTAATTTACTGTGTTTTGCCCTATACAAAAAGTGTAATGGGTATAGGCATCATCTCTCACTTTTTGTTTCCCCATCCCTTTTGTCCCACCTGTGAAACCCAATAACCCCACCAGTTACTTACCAGGAATGTGGTTACTATTTGAAGCATCTACATCTATCTGAGATGACAACTTAGAGAGCTGGATAAAATCACATAATTTTAGACACACTGAACCTAAATGTCAGTGTTGCTCTTTTCTTCTTCTTCAAAAGGGGTAAGAGGCCTATAAAACTTGACCAAGAAATGTAGGGAATTTAAAACTAATTTGAAAATGTCAGCAGTTGGATAGAAGACTTGATTCAAACAGGCAGTTTGCAGCTTAGGAAGAGGGGAGGGGATGAAATGAAGTACATCTTTCCATTCCGTGCACATAACTACTTTGTTCTTTAATGGTCAATGTTGTATTGGGGCAAAAAACAAAACAAAACAAATTCTGCTCCATTTGTGTTCAATGAATAGAAGAGCTTTCTACTGTCATATATAACTGATTAGAACTAATAAACAAACAACCAAACCAAACCAAAACAAAACAAAATCTTTGGAAGTGGCTTCACGTTTTGTTAAAATTATCCTCAGGGTGACAGGAAAGAGCATTAGCTCCAGGGGTGCCAGTGTGGTAGTACCTACTGCAAGTATTTAGAAAGGAGAGGTTCTGTCCCTTAGGTGAAAGTCACAGACACTCTGAAGTTTAGGGGAGAAAGCAAACATCATAACACAGAAACAACCCTATCCTTCTCAGTTGAGTATCCAAAGATGACATTTTTACTTTAAGAAATACCAAATTTCACAAAAATATGTGAGGATGTAGAAAGAGAAAACCTTCCCCCCCCATCGAAAAAAAAATAGAATTAAATGAATGAAATAGACACTCTTGTATGAAGTTTTGTGTTCAGAAAAGACTAGCCACTGAAAAGAATGCTTTTAGTCAAAAGGTAGATCTGTCCAATTCTGCTTACAATGAGAAGCCTTTTCAATTTACTTAGGAGAAAAATTTAACTTTTTAATGTAATGTCCCTTTAGTAAGACACTGTTTACATTGATATTATAAAAAATATCATGTACTGCTGCTTTTAAAAAATATTTTTATAATAGATGAATATAATACTTTTATTTTATTTTTATGCGGTGCTGAGGATGGAACCCGGTGCCTCATACTTGCTAGGCAAATGTTCTACCAACTGATCTATAACCCTAGCCTATGTACTGCTACTTTAACAGTTGACTCGATTTTCATAAAGCTTACATGAACTGGGAATCAGAATCCTTATCTTTAAAACCTGTGCTTCAGCTGGGTGCAGTGGTGCACGCCTGTAATCCCAGTGGCTGGGGAGGCTGAGACTGGAGGATCATGAGTTCAAAGCCAGCCTCAGCAAAAGCAAGGTGCTGAGCAATTCAGTGAGACCCTTTTGTAAAAATACAAAATAGGGCTGGGGATGTGGCTCCTGGTCAAGTGCCTGAGTTCAATGCCTGATACCCCTGCCAAAAAAAAAAAACAACAACAAAAAACCAAAAACCCCTGCGCTTCATCACACAGGAGTAGCAGAACTAGAATTTGCATTTAGGCTCCATTTAACTATTTAGAAGTTTCTGTTTATTGTCTTAAGAGGCAGTGTATAAAGCACTACAAACTTATAATCTTCCCAATATAGTGGGTTATGATCATAGATTTTTCATTTTTGTACTGTGATTATTAGTTTGGTTTTTAAATAAAAGTTATACATGATTGATATAAAAGATCCAGTTCCAATAAATTTACCACAAACTGTTAAATATATTAATGGGAAAAATAAGATCATCCCAAAGCAAAGCTCAAAGACACTCTTTGGTGAGATCATGGAGAAGAGTTTTACAGACTTCACACTGATAAACAGTTGTCAGCATTACCACCCTCAGATTGTTTCCCTCAGAAATATTTGTTATAAAAACTTAAAAATCAAAATATATTTTCCTTAGTACACAAGATAAACTAGAGTACTCACTTTCTGGCTTAAAAACAAACAAGCTAAAAGCTCCAAACAACGGATAAAAACCCTGAGTGCCAGAACAAGCAAACTGGTAACAAAAGGGACAAAATCCATACCCTTTCTATTTTCTAGTAACTGTGTATTCACTAGCTGCATTTGGAGGGAAAACCAACCAATTCCAAATTCATGAACTTACTGCCAAGTACCTGACACATTCACTCCAGGACAGGGCAAATATATTTGTCAAGAAGGTCCAGGCTGTGGTAAATTTTCAACAAACAGTCCTGAGCAGATCTTAGAGGGAACTTGTATCACATCACAAAAATTGAGGAGTGGTAAAAGCAGGTTGCGGGGAGTAGGGGAAAATAATTAATTGTGAAGAAAAGCCCATGATTCCTTGGAAGCCAGAGGCACACAGAATATTCTATTCTACATAAGAAACACTGATTTTATGATTCCACATGACCTCAAGGACACAAAAGAAGGTAAACTTGTATGATTTTTTTGAGGTTAAAGTAATCTCTAATCTTAAGAAGCCCAAGACCAAGGTCTAAAGGTGAAGAGACAGATAAAAGAGTATTCTTCAACTTTTCTTCATTGCACAGGGAAATCCCCCTGAGGTAAGAATAAGAGAATTTGGTAAGTTGGAAAACATTTCTAACTTTATATTAAAATTACGTTTGACTATTGATGTAAGTTTCATAAAAGTAAATATCATAAAGATTTTAAGAAGCAATCTTAGGTCTTTTTCAACTTCTTAATTACCATTTCAAACCTTTCCCAGGTTGGGCTGAATGGTAAAATGGTCTGAATTAAACTTACAGAGGCCCTTCCAAAGCAATGAATATTTTCTAACTATGATCTTGTTTTACATAAAAACTACCAGCAAATCTCCCTTTTTTCATTCTTTAATAAAGCATTGAATACTCAAGCTTCAAAACAGACTTTCCTTTGCCATTTCTCATAAATGGAACTTTTATTTTAGTATTTTTGATAGTAATGCCTGGTTAGGTTATTATGAGGGCAAGGCTATTTTTTAGTAGACCACACTTTTTATCCCACAAAGCTGACTTTTCAAAAATCACAATTTATGTATAAAATAATGTAGGCTTATAATCTACTTTATTATAAAAGGAAATAGATCTTGGCACATAATTATTATAGAAAACAGAGTATTCAGAAAAGTTCAAATCTCCAGTATGAAAATACATTTTTCTGAAAAATACTTACTTATAAAAACATATTGCCTTTGCCATGTGAAAATCTGGTGTTTAGTTCTCTAGATTTCTTTATTAGGGCTTTTTTCTGAGCTTCATCAAACCGATTAACCTTGAGATCCTTATCACGGTCAAATGGTATTCTCTCTTGGGGCTTATTTTTATCAACAGCCTTATTTTTTAATTTTTTATGATGAATGTCCATAAGAGATTCTGATCTTTTTGACTCCTGGGGAAACAGGAGAGCAGTGATCAAAACCTAGCTTGTGTAAATTATTGACAGAATATGATCATGAAACAAAATAGACAGCAACAGCACACATTAAGGAGGGTTTTTTACAAACTCTGACAGGTTTTTCCAAATCCAAGATCACATCTGTGAAGATAATACATATCAAATGCTTTCTAAATCTTTATTTTCAACAAAACTAAAGGAGGCTAAAAGAAAATCATTAAATTTTGCTAAGAAAAAAAAGGCAATCAATACATACAGCATGGAGAAACAGTTAAGAACTAAATTTCAAATTAGAAAAATTAGAATTGCAAGGACAGTGCTGCTGTTTTCAGCAATGGTAACCTTTAGCAAGTAAGTGAAGCCTCATATTCTCAACTGTAAGATGGCAGCAGTCAAGGTAATAATTTGTAAATATTAGGGTGAGGTAGGAGTTAAATGATCTGATGAATAGAAAGGATTTAATATAGTGTCAGGTATGTAGAATCAGTCAATAAATGCTGTGTTGGATTTACTGCATTTACTCTACTATAATCTTTACTATCTCTAAAAACTGAATGTTATTATTCCTGATGTATAGATATGTAAAGAAAAAATGAAAGGACAAATTTATGGGACCAATATGAAAAAAAAGTCTGAATGAGCTGAGAGTTGAGAGATCATCAGTAATTTTATTAATAGGTCAATATGAGGTTTAAGAACAAGAATATAAGGTTTAAGAATAATATAAGGTTTAAGAACAAGAATATAAGGTTTAAGTTGATACAAGAATTGAATATATCACTGTAACAAAATGTGTTCCATTTCCATTTTCTTCTTTTTATAAACTTGGGTTTCTTAACTATTAATCAAACAAACAAAAGAACACAATTGAGACTAAAACCTTATTCTAGTAATAAGTAACACTCATCCAAAGACCAGGATCTGTGCTCGCTTCGGCAGCACATATACTAAAATTGCAACGATACAGAGAAGATTAGCATGGCCCCTGCGCAAGGATGACACGCAAATTCGTGAAGCATTCCATATTTTTTGGAAATGAGGAAAAACACTCCATTCACAATATCCTTAAAAAAAATAAAATACTTGGGAATCAACCTAACAAAAGAGGTGAAAGACTTATACAATGAAAACTACAAAACCCTAAAGAGAGAGATAGAAGAAGATCTTAGAAGGTGGAAAAATGTACCCTGTTCATGGATAGGCAGAACTAACATCATCAAAATGGCGATATTACCAAAAGTTCTCTATAGGTTTAATGCAATGCCAATCAAAATCCCAACGGCATTTCTTGTAGAAATGGATAAAGCAATCATGAAATTCATATGGAAAAATAAAAGACCCAGAATAGCAAAAGCAATTCTAAGCAGGAAGTGCGAATCAGGCGGTATAGCGATACCAGACTTAAAACTATATCACAGAGCAATAGTAACAAAAACAGCATGGTACTGGTACCAAAACAGGAGGGTGGACCAATGGTACAGAATAGAGGACACAGAGACTAATCCACAAAGCTACAACTATCTTATATTTGATAAAGGAGCTAAAAGCATGCAATGGAGGGAGGATAGCATCTTCAACAAATGGTGCTGGGAAAACTGGAAATCCATATGCAACAAAATGAAACTGAATCCCCTCCTCTCGCCATGCACAAAAGTTAACTCAAAATGGATCAAGGACCTAGATATCAAATCAGAGACACGCCGTCTGATAGAAGAAAAAGTTGGCGCCGATCTACATATTGTAGGGTCGGGCTCCAAATTCCTTAATAGGACACCCATAGCACAAAAGTTGATAACCAGAATCAACAAATGGGACTTACTTAAACTGAAAAGTTTTCTCTCAGCAAGAGAAACAATAAAAGAGGTAAATAGGGAGCCTACATCATGGGAACAAATTTTTACTCCTCACACTTCAGATAGAGCCCTAATATCCAGAGTATACAAAGAACTCAAAAAATTAAACAATAAGAAAACAAATAACCCAATCAACAAATGGGCCAAAGACCTGAACAGACACTTCTCAGAGGAGGACATACAGTCAATCAACAAGTACATGAAAAAATGCTCACCATCTCTAGCAGTCAGAGAAATGCAAATCAAAACCACCCTAAGATACCATCTCACTCCAGTAAGATTGGCAGCCATTATGAAGTCAAACAACAACAAGTGCTGGAGAGGATGTGGGGAAAAGGGTACTCTTGTACATTGCTGGTGGGACTGCAAACTGGTGCGGCCAATCTGGAAAGCAGTATGGAGACTCCTGGGAAAGCTGGGAATGGAACCACCATTTGACCCAGCTATTGCCCTTCTTGGACTATTCCCTGAAGACCTTAAAAGAGCGTACTACAGGGATACTGCTACATCGATGTTCATAGCAGCACAATTCACAATTGCTAGACTGTGGAACCAACCCAGATGCCCTTCAATAGATGAATGGATAAAAAAAATGTGGCATTTATACACCATGGAGTACTACGCAGCACTAAAAAATGACAAAATCATAGAATTTGCAGAGAAATGGATGGCACTAGAGCAGATCATGCTTAGTGAAGCTAGCCAATCCCTAAAAAACAAATACCAAATGTCTTCTTTGATATAATGAGAGCAACTAAGAACAGAGCAGGGAGGAAGAGCAGGAAGAAAAGATTAACATTAAACAGATACATGAGGTGGGATGGAAAGGGAGAGAAAGGGAAATTGCATGGTAATGGAGGGAGACCCTCATTGTTATACAAAATTACATATAAGAGGTTGTGAGGGGAATGGGAAAATAAACAAGGAGAGAAATGAATTACAGTGGATGGGGTAGTGAGAGAAGATGGGAGGGGAGGGAGGGGGGATAGTAGAGGATAGTAAAGGTAGCAGAATACAACAGTTACTAATAGGGCATTATGTAAAAATGTGGATGTGTAAACGATGTGATTCTGCAAACTGTATTTGGGGTAAAATTGGGAGTTCATAACCAACTTGAATCTATTGTATGAAATATGATATGTCAATAGCTTTATAATGTTTTGAACAACCAATAAAAAAAATAAATTAAAAATAAATAAATAAATTTAAATTAAAAAAAAAAAAAAAAAAAGACCAGGATCTAACAGGAAAAACAGTCTTTCATTAAAGAGATTAAATTACAATTAAATTTTACTTTTTTTTTTTTTTTTTTGGTACTAGAGATTGAATTCAAGGTGCTTTATCATTGGGCTACATTCCCAGCCCTTTTAATTTTTTATTTTGAGACAGGGTCTTGCTAAATTGCTTAGGACCTTGCTAAATTGCTGAGGCTGGCCTCAAAATTTGTGATCCTCCTGCCTCAGCCTCCTGAGTTGCTGGCATTACGGGCGTGTATCATGGCTACATTTTACTTTTTATGTTTACTATTTATCAAAATGAATAATGTATTTAGACTTTTTTTTTTTTTTAAACAGTACTGAGAATTAAACCCAGGCCCTTGCACATGCTAGGCAAGTGCTCTTCCATTGAGTTATACCTCCAGTCCTTTTCTATCTTTTATTTTGAGACAGGGTCCTGCTAAATTGTTCAGGCTGGCCTCAAACTTGCACTCTTTGTGCCTCAGCCTTCCAAGTAGCTGTGATTATAGGTGTGTTTCTATGCCTAGTCATTTACATGGTTTTATCAACTGAAATTACAACTTAATTTAGAAATTAACATTAATGTTAACACATTTAATGTTAACATTTAAAGTTAGACACAGGAAATTTAAAATCTTTTCAATTTCAATTTATGTGCATATTTTTGTTGCAGAGAAACATGATTTACCAAAATAGTTGTAAAATATGAGTTTCAAGTGCAGAAGTAATTCTACTAGGACGTGGAATTCTGTAGCAGAAGAGAAGTGAAACTGAACATAAAAAAAAGGAGAAATAAAATTGTTAAGGAAGAGCTTGTTCACAGATATCTTTTAATGGATTATACTAGATATGGAATTGCTATGGCATTTAAGATTCTATTTGAAAAATTTAATAGTAAGTTAATATGCTATAAACTACATCTTTGGTAACTATAAAAACTTATAATTAAATATTTCAGATGTCAAGTAAAAATATACAGGTTTTCAAATTTCTTTTAGGGGACACCTAACAAAAATATTTGAAGACTATTGGTTTCCATCCCTGACTGGCTAAAAAGATATACGGATTCCTGAGTCCCATTTTAGATTCAGTGAATCAAAACTGCTAACTGGGGGCAGAAATGTGTGCTTTACCACCCATATTCTGAGACAGGTGATTCACTGGATGTAGACTCTCTGGTGTAGATCATTCCTGGTATCAATGTAAGAGAGGATGCCAACCCAAAGGAGAAGTGGAAAAGAGTTAATTTTAGGATATGAAACCATATGTGTAATGTAAGTATAATGATGTTCGTCTAAATGTCAAAAAGCTGACTATAAAAACTTGATGTTTTTCCTTCCTGTTCTTGAATCCATGTCTTTCTCTGCTAATGAGAAAATAACTCCTTTATAAGGTAATAAAATGAGGGGGGGGGCAACAGGTTAATAATTACAGTTGGAAGGGGAAGGTCTGAAGACTTGGAAAAGAACTGGAGGAAACAAAGTTCAAAGCAAATGCAAAGTCTGAAGCAAATGCATGCTGATGTGAGAAAGGACAGAATGGGAAAGGCCCTATTACTTTATCTAAAGCTATTACTGAGAAAAATGATTTAGATTAATGAGAAAAACTTTTGTATAAAAGTTAACAAAAAGCAAATAAAAATAAAGAAACAAAGACAGCAGGTTTCAATGCACTGATTTCCTATATTAGTTAAACATCGATAGATATGGGAATACATTGAACTAGTGGAGTATTATAATCAATGTAAATAATCCAAGTGCTCAAATTTATGATGATAAAAGAAATGAATCTTCATATTAGTTGTTGCAGGAGTGCTACTGGTGGTCTGGTTTAGTATAATCTGTACACGTGATACATAGGACCAAACTAGTGCTAAACTATAAAAAAGTTTATAAAAACACCCAGAAGTAGTTGTTTCAATGAAAATAATGAGTTGAAAGCCAATTCATATAGAAATCAATTTGCTAAATGACCAATCTGCTGAATCATCACATTTAATCATTAAACAAAAATGGTTTGTTTTCTAATAATTTATAGTATTTAAAGTGATTTATTTTGAATGGAATAGTTTAAACAGCTTTTAAAAGCTTATTCTTAATTTCTAATTGATTGATTTTTATTGTCTTCATGGTAATATTTTAAAGAGTCCTCAATTTACCAAATGCTGAGTTTTGGGGTTAAAGAATGATTTAGTGTTAAGAGATGACATTAATATTTTGAAGAGTAAATTTCATAATAAGTAACCAAAATTTTAGCATTGGATGCATTTTTAGGTAACCTACAGACCTCATTACATACTCCCCTAAAAACGTTCTTTAAAGATAAATTTACATGTTTGGGCAATGAAGTACCCAAATATTAAGCACATATCCACTAAGCTTTATAATCCAATCAAGATCTAGAACTTTCCCATCACTCCAGAAAGCTCTGTATGCTGCTTCCTAGACAAATCTCACAACCCTATTCCAATACTACTAATGTGATTTTCTTCCACCATAAATTGATTTAGCTATATTATAAATTTTCATATAAATAGTATATACTTGCTCCAGGCTTCTTTCACTAAGCACAATGAGTTTGATTCATCCACATGACTGCATTTATTTATAATTTGTTACTTTTCATTGCTGAGTAGGGTTTCATTTATACTACGGTTTGGTTTTTCTTTCTCTTATTAATGGATACCTGGGTTATTTGTAGTATTCAGCTATTATAAATAAGCTTCTATGAATATTCTTGCATAAGTCTTTTTAGGTCAGTATAAATATAGCATGTTCTACTCTTTGTGTGGAGGGGAACCCAAGAGTGAAACTGGGGTGTCATAGGGTAAGTGGGAGTGTAATTTTATAATAAGAAATGTCACTTTGGAGAAAGTGTTCTTTTCTAACATAACCATTATGCTATAAATTTGGCTCTAAGCACCACTTCATATTGCATCCTACACATTTTGATATGTTGCATTTCTGTTATTCAGGTCTAGGAATTTTCTAACTTCTCATTATCATTTCCACTTTGCTGCAAAATTTGAATTTTGAATTTTTCTAATTTCCAGTTATATGGTATTTAAATTATTATGAATTTTAACTTAAATTCCTTGTGGTCAGAGAACATGTTCTGAATGATAGTTGTTCTTTCAGTTTGGTGGAGACTTGACTTTTGCATTATCAGTTTTAATAAATGTTTCATAATGGGTTAAGTTTTGGTCTGTTTCCAAAAATATTTCATTTATGCTTCATTGTTTGTGATACTGGTCAATATATGTCCAATAAATCAATTTTGATAGAGCTTCACACTAAAATTCAGGGAACAGAAGATCATTTTCCTAAATACTTGTAGACCTTTCAGAGAACAATGGTTTCTGTAATTTATATTTATTATTTGAAATAGAATACTCTCTAGTTTTTAAGAGAAAAGAGAGCAACAAAAAATGATGTATGCCAAGTGAATAAGATCTTAGCAGAGAAATGTACATTGAATTTTACTTAGGAAACATTTTTCTCTGATATTTAAGTTTTTCCATAAAATACTCCAAGTATGCTTATAATTTAGATTTATGAACTGAGAATGTCTATGCCTTAGTAGAACTCTTGCTTGCTGATCAAGTGCTACCTAACTCTAGTAATTAATTTTCTGATACATACCTTAGGTAAAATAAAAATTAAAAATATTTCATAGAATGCATAGAAAGATTTTGTATAAATATACATATATAGAAGTCAAGTATTTTTCAGGATTGATGTGTAGAAAATGAGGCAAAGAGGCAATCATATGAAAGAAACAAAAAAATGAGAAGAGAATTGAAAGATAAAAGATTATATATTTAATTTTATTACTTACATTGTATGAGGATACCTGCTCAGCCAACCTCTTATCTCTTCCTGACAATACATATTCCTCATCCTTCTTACTAGATGACTTTCTTGCTTCTTGTGTTTCCTGAGGAATGCAAACAGATAACACACTATTGAGACATATCATTAAGATATAATGACAAAGAAATATATTCTTTTTATTTAGATTAAGTAACAAGAAACTGAACTCAGCCAGGCTTCTTGAATTCCTTTCATTCAGCAGTATTTATATACATAATAAGGGATCTGTTAGTGTTCTATGATTTTCCTGAAAATAAGAAAACAAACAAACAAAGCCAAAAAAACCTCAAAAGCAACAAATGCAAAACCGTATCTAAACAATAACTGTAAGAACTCATGTATTTATCAAACTCAGGATGAGTTTTAACTAATAATGATGGAATATAAATAGGCTTAAAGACAAACTCTCCATTTTGTTTTCAAAAATAGTAAAAATAAAAAGGTATACATATTAATAAAAAAACTATCTTTATTTACAGAGAGTATACACAACCCCCCATCCCCAACAAATCTACCAGAAAACCTCTTGGAACTAACAAGCAAATATAGCAAAGTTGTATAACACAAGGTCAATATACAAAATATAACAACAGTGGACAAATGAAATTTGGAACAAAACAAAAATTCCATTTATCATAGCATACATGCATAAATGGGGTATTTAGGTAGACTTTCAACAAACTAAGAAAACATGCCACTATGATTTTCTATAGAATATACTCCCAATCATGAATAAGGAAGGCACACATAAAAATAAGTGAAAACCATTGTTCTCAAAGTATATTTTTATGTTATTTGCTTAGAAAAATCAAGGAGGCCCTCATTATAATTTTTCTTTAATAATGAATTAAAACAACATTTAAAATAAAGTACATTAGGAACATAGAAATAGCATGTTTCTTATTTTCTCATAAAATTTTCTTCAGAAAGCAGAGGTTCTTACTTGTAAGTATTGAGAGAAATGATGTTATGTTAAAATGGAGATGAATATTAAGGAACTGTTAGATCTCAAGACTGGAACCTGAAGATATAATAGATGTCAATTAACTTATACACAACTTTTTCATTTCTTTCTAAAGAACAATCTTATTTCTTTTAGGCCATGTTGGCTAAGTGGAACACAAGAGCATTAGAGTTATGGAGATGTATGTACATTGTGAAATCAAATATAAAAAGCAATATGAAGTGATTGGAGAGAATCTATCAAGAAGGAAATATGGTCAAGATTTGTGACAAAAATTATTCATGAACTTTACATAGAAGCAAAGATACCAGAAAATAAACAGTTTTGGGATCTGATATAGTTAAGATATAGTATACAGTGATACTATATACTAAATTTTAAGGGGTATTCATAATTCCTTATATGTCCACTGTAAACACTGAACAAAATATTTCAGCACAGAAAGGAACAACCAGGTCTAAAAAACTCAGTCATAGGAATTAAAATCATTTCAATTCAACTGTACTGCCTGGTTTCCATTGGTGTCATTTTTCTGTGATATTTTCCTCTGAGGATGATTCCTCATAGCTAGTTGTAGGTCAGTCATCCACTTACATATAAGAAATAGGACCCAAACCTATAAATAAATATAGACAAAAATAAAAGATTCATGTAAGCAAGGGAATTAATTGTCTTTTTGGAGAATAGGACAAACAGAATTAGCAGAATGAATTAAATATGGAACTGTTAATATAAAAACTGATGAAGCTATAATCATAAAGTGACAATTACTCAAGCATTTAAGACTTATATAGGGAAAGCCTTTAGATGAAATAAATTCAAGGAGTAGAGTAGTGTTGGGGACACTGGTTCAATGACTAACACATAATGGACTATTTAAAAATAAACAAAAAGCCTTAAGAAGAGAACCTGGGAAAATAATAATGTATCTTGTGTACAGATGTTTTATAATTTGTCTTGGTGATTTATTTACATATAAATGAAGGTGTTTCTTGCTTATCTTGACAGTCACATGAAGCTTGTGCACTGGAGATGTTATTTTGAGAGAGATTCTTGAGGTATTATGTAATTTGCCAAAAACGATACAAGTGTTGTTTTTTCAATAGAGTTTAAAAGATATATTTTCATGTAATTAGTGTGCTGTATAAATACCAGGGAATGTGGAGTTAAAAACATCTAAAATGGACTTTTTGCTCATCACTTTCTAGCTCTGTGATAACCTGGTGTTACAGAGTTAGTTTCTCCCTATTCTATAGCATGAAGTCAATAAACCTATGTCTCAGGGTTTTCTTGGGATTTAAATGAGGCAGTTTATCAGAAAATAATAACCAGTATGACTTTCCTTCTTCATAACTTCTCCTCAGGGAAGAAATATTTTCCCTTTGGAATCATAATTTCAAAAAGTAGTACCTTTAAATAATTTTGCCTTATAGCTTTTCAAAATTGAGCCACCATGAACAGAAACACATAAACAAAACCTCTTACCTTAGCTTTCCTTTCCCTATCAGCTGGAGTATCTGTCCAGATTGATCGATCTCCGGATTTGTCATCAGCTCTTCTCTTAAAGGTCCTTGGCCCTAAACCAAAGTCTTTCATTTCTGGAGGAAGTTCAGTCATCCATGACTCTCTCGTTATTGGTTTAGGTGAATCCTTTATGAGAAATAAAAAGTTAAGGAAAAAGAAGCATGAGAAGTGTGTGAGTGTGTGTGTGTGTGTGTGTGTGTATAAAAATACTGTATAAACAAATGTTTTTTCTCAACTGAAGTTTTAAATTTACTGAATAGACTTTAATAGAAAGGTTCAATGTTTTTGTCATATACATTTGCCATGCATGTAACAAATATTTTCATCCAATTTGTTATTCTGTTGACTATCTCTTGCCATACAGAATATATTTTTAAAAATTTTATTTATTTTATTCATTTGAGTTGTTGATGGACCTTTATTTATTTATTTTTATTTATATGTGGTGCTGAGAATTGAACCCAGGGCCTCATACATTCAAGGCAAGCACTCTACTACTGAGCCACAACCCCAGCCCCATACAGAATATTTTTAGTAGAAAAAATTTTCCAGTCTTTTCCTTTACTGTTTCTGGATTATATAGTGTGGGCATGTGCGTAAACACACACACACACACACACACACACACACATATTAATGTTTATTTCAAATATTTAGATTTTTAACCTATTAGGTAGTTAGTTTGTTTATTTATTTGTGTGGTGCTGGGGATTGAACCCAGGGCCTTGTGCATTCGAGACAATCACTCTACCAACTGAGCTATATCCCCAGCCCTCTATTTAGTTTATTAAAGTACCTTTAAAACTTACATCATCTCCTTTGGTTAGTTTTTCTTTCATTCTCTGGGCCCTTTTTTCAAACTCTGTTGTTACACTATAGTTAACTGGTCCTTTTGCAGGCATTGGTCCAACAATATTCTCATCCTCACTGCTATCTGTTTCCTTTGGAAATAAAACGTTACCTTTAATGCAATAGCAGAGCTACAAGTTACTGGAAATAATTTTAAATTACTTAAATTTGACTGAAATGGATTGCCCAAAGATAATAAAACAAAAAAGCAAGCAATGCACTGCTGGCCTATTACTAAACAATAAGGACCTTTTCCTTGCCTTCCTCAAATACACTGTACAGAGATGATAAATCCATGGCACGTGGACTGTTCCATCTCTCCTCCACAGGAGATCTCATTAAACTATTGAAGCTCTACCTGATAGACATAGAAGTGGCCTTGGACTTCTTTTCAACAAGTATTCTGATTCTTATTACTACTAGGTCAGAGATGACACATTTGGAGCTAATTTTATTCACCGTATATAAAAAGTTCCTTGGAATAAGATGTATGTAAGCAGGGCATTCTTGGGAGCTATATCAGTCTTCATGAAAAAGAAATAGTATGCAATAATTTATAAAATTCTGACCCAAATGAATTAATTCAGTTCTAAAAGTACCTTACTCATTTCAAAGATAAAATAATATTATGGTAATTGAATTCAACCTATTCTTATTAAGTCATCTTGACAAATGGCCTCCATGTATGAGTCTGTGTTAGATGCTGTCCATGCTAGGGCTTACAGGTTGTCTTTTTCCTCCAGGAGATTTTTTTTTTTTTTTTAAGAATCTAACCTTTATTTTGTTTATCTATTTTTATGTGGTGCCGAGGATCAAACTCAGGGCCTCACTCATGTGAGGCAAGTAATTTATCACTGAGCTACAACTCCAGTCTCTCTTCTAGGAGATTTATTAAAATGAGTAACAACAACATGCTTTTCCTTCAGCTCTGACAGACAGTTTCTGCCTCTTAGGTTTTAAACTAGTGAGATCAGGAGATCATTTATATTGCTTTCATTTTCCCCACTAACCAATCAAATAGATGAAATGTGTGGTCACTTGGACCATGGTGGATAAAGATGTGGTTGGATTCTGGATGTCTTCTGAAGGCAGGAACAACATAATTTGTTGACATATTCATTTTTGTAACTATATGCCTGACACACGACAAGTGCTGTAGAAACACTTGTAGAAATAATAAGTAACCTTGAAGTTCATGATCTTAACCATTGGGCTGTATTTACTTTGAGTAACCTTAGTGGTAAATTCTCAGTGGAGATGAACTGGAGTCTCTTGATGACCTGAATTCATTTGTAAGAAGGTACTGAAGCATAAGAGACTGAAGATGTGATTTAAAGTCATATGAACTGGGTTTAAGACATGGCTTTGATAAGCAAAAATCATGTAAACTTAGGTAAATTACCCAATTTCTTTGGTCTTAGACATCTGTAAGGTAATGGAAAAAGCTCATTTTATGCAGTTGTGGAGAAGATAAAGATTAGATACCCACGTATGGGTAAAATACACTAACAATGAGAGTGCTGTATAAATTTCAGCTATTTTCAAGGAGCTAAACAGCCTTCATACTTTACTCCAAAATCATTTGACTTCTTTTCATAAGAAATTACTTAACTACCAGTGTCTTTGTTATACATGTACCAGAACTGAAAAGGAGAGAGTTAATTTTAAGATAAAGACTATATTAAAATCCTCCTGTTTTCTTTCCTTCAGGTCAAATCACAATGATTCCTTAAACTTTCATCATATTCTATTTTTCTAATACTTTAAAATCCCCTTCAAAGTAAGTAGCATAAATAGATAACACTCTGTCAGTCTTGCTGTTTTTCTTAACAGAATTTCAGGTTTGTGAACAGCTTTTGGTTACACGTACATATGTTACAATTTTAAATTAATCTGAATATAACTGAGTCTTATATTACATCTGAGTCAAATGATCATAGTTACCCCTAAAGTTCTGACTTTGTTACATCTTTTCCTTTAAATGGAAACTTTTCAAACCTCAGAGTTAAAATGCGATGATATTTGTCCTGGATCATCTCTGCCTTTGTCACTTTTCTGTGCAGATTTAATGAAACCAGGTGGCAATGCAGGACCTATTATAGGCCTGAAAAATAAAATACACATTTATCATTCTCCTTAACTTTAAAGTAGTTTTCAGAATAAAAGCTCACAAAAATAATAAAACCAGATACTAACAAATATTGGAAATAAAAAATTTATTCACTATATTATTTTCACCAGTGTTACCTTAATATTTTTCTACTAGGTGTCTTAAAAAACTTATTTTTGGCATTTTAAAATTTCTATTTGTTAGTCAATTAGATAATAAACCAATAATTCTCAATCTTTGTGACACTAGTGTGTGCCTATCTCCTAAAAAAAAACTATACTAAGTAAAATGATAATTTTTCTTAAAAAGGCCTTAGATGTATTGAAACTTATGAAAGTATTTTTTATTTAGTGCCTTGGTTTTCTTTCAGTTGATATTCACTTTCCATGGGAAAATAGCAAAAGGATATTATAATTATACCCAGAACTATTAAAGTAGAAACTCAGTTTTCCTAAGGACAAATATAGCATGTGCATACAACAGATGTCAGTAACTCATGATATGCATGCCAAGGCAATAAGCTGTGCATGATACCTGTAATCTCAGCTGAGGCTGAGACAGGAGAATCATAGGTTTGATGCGGGTCTCAGCAATTTAGTGAGGACCCCAGCAACTTGGCAGGGTCCTTGATAAATTAGCAACTATCTCAAAATTAAGAAAGGACTGGGGCTATAGCTCACTGAAAAAGCAACCTTTGGTTCAATTCCTAGTATCCGGGGGGAAAAAAAAAAGCCAAGGCAATATAAAAATCTATACAACATCCTAATAATCCAGTAAAAATGTGTAAATGTAGAATACAAGTAGTTCATTGTGATCCGTAGAAGGAAAAAGTGCTGTAAGCACATTTCAACCAGTGTACCTGTTTCCTTAAAACAACTCTCATCAGTATAAGCCCTGCTTTCTAGTCATTTCACTTAGGGCAAAATTAACACCTAAGGTCAACACATCCAGTAAGTAGTTGAGCTGGAGTTTAAGCCCTGGCCTATTTGATGCCAAAGGTCATTTTCTTTTGAGCTGCCCCAATGTCACATTCTGAGGGAACATTTTGACATTAGTTAAAAAAGAGAATTTCTTGAATTCTGAGACTGATTTTTTTCTGTTTTTTTTTCCTCTTTCTCTATTTGGCACCATAAATACTAATATTTATGATTATTATTACTTGGATTTATTCTTGAGAGGGAAAAGCCATCATTCTCTTTCTCCTATATTAGCATTTATTTTTATTTTTATTTTTTTTATTAGCTACACATGACATTACAATGATCTTGGCAATTCATACATTTGAATCAATGGGGTATAATTTCTCATTTTTCTGATTGTACAGATTGCAGAATCACACTGATCATAGAGTCACCCATATACATACAGCAATCATAATGTCTATTCTATTCTGCTACCCTTCTTATCCCCCCTTCCCCTCCCTTCCCCTCCCATCAGGTCTGATTTTATGTATGGAAAAAATAATCTTTTCTCCTGTTAATACTTACCAGTTTCTTCACCCTTGCTTTTGTACCAAGTTTTTTCCATAGTTGTTGCTGTGCCAATGTAACTGACACAGATGGCACCGAAGTCCTAAGCTAAATCCCCCAGGTTGCACTGTGCTCAATTAGAGTCTCACAGACAGACTTCTTGGCAAGGAAGAAACAGTATCGAGAGCCAGAAAGTCTGGGTTCTGAATTTGACCATTTAATAACCTCCTGTCTTGGTTCATGAAACCTTTTTAAACATAACAATTTTGCAGATGAAAGACGTGGAAGTTTGGCACTGCTGGATCCAATTAGTTATGATTTATAAGCTAGAAGGAAGTACAGCATGGGTTTTTCTGAGTATAATTTTTAGTAAAGCTATGCCTGCAATTATAGTTCAATTTTCTGGCCTCAGGCGGTTTGTTGAAATGAAAGTAGTAGTCTATAAAATCCTAGAATATAGTAAATATAACCATGGCATGCTATGGTTGTGTATGAGTTTTTTTACTCTAATTTATGCTACTCGCTATTTATTTACACATAGATTTTATTATTGCCAAATGTAATTCTCAAGAAAGAAACTGCTATAGATCTAAGTATAGGTTGAATCCTTAGCCAAAATGCTTTGGACCAGAAGTGTTTCAAATTTCAGATTTTGAAATATTTTATGTTGTTTTGTTTATGATGTGGCTTTATTTTTTTCAGATTTTGGAATATCTGCATATATAGATATAGATATATCTTGGGGATGGAACCCAAGTCTAAAAATGAAATTCATTTATGTTTTAAATCCAACTCATACATAGCCTGATAGTTATATCAATATCAATATTTTAAATGATTTGTGTATGAAACAAAGTATACACTGAACCATCAGACTTTTGGTGTAATGTCAATGCTCAAAAAGTTTCAGATTTTGGAGCATTCTGAATTTCAGGTTTTCAGATTAGAGATGATCCATGTATAATGTGCTTTTGTTTTTAAAAAATGCTTTATTTCAGGAGGCAGCAAATTTTCTCTGAAGGGCCAAGCAGTAAATTTTATTTATTTATTTTATTTTTTGGTATCAGGGATTGAACTCAGGGTACTTAACCACTGAGCCATATCCCCAGCTGTTTTATGTTTTATTTTGAGACAGGGTCTTGCTAAGTTGCTTAGGACCTCACTAAGTTGCTGAGGATGGCTTTGAAATTGTGATCCTTCTGCCTTAGCCTCCCAAGCTACTGGGATTACAAGCATGTGCCACCATGCCTGGCTAGGCAGTAAATTCTAAAGTTGGAGGGCCACAGGAAACTTTTTTTGTAATTAAAAAATGTGAAAGTCTGGGGCTGGGATTGTGGCTCAGTGGCAGAGCTCTTGCCTCGCACATGTGAGGCACTGGGTTCCATCCTCAGCACCACATAAAGATAAATAAACAAAATAAAGATATTAAAAAATATATCCATTTTAAAAAATGTGAAAGTCATTCTTAGCTTTGGGACTAAAAAAAAAAAAAAGGTGGTATTTGTCTACCCTTGTCATATCTAAAAGAAATAGAGTACATGGAAGGAGGACTTGCTACATGGTGATTATAAACTCTGGTTATCTTTTCTGCTTGGCCTTGCAAACTGGTATCTATGGTATGAATTATATACAATTTAGTATATAATTTTATGTTCAATACTTTAAAATTTTGCAGTTCTGAGAAGACAACAGGAATCAATGTTTACTATATACTTACTCTGGGCTAGTCACCATGTAAGACACACTCACAGACAAAAACATGTTGTATGCATGAGAGTAGGAAATCTCAACCATTGTAACATCTCGAAAGGTGTATGTCATTGTTCTATTTTACATAAGACAAATTTGATGTTCAGAGAAATTGTCTAATTTGACATACAGGGGTTTGTTTTTCTATCAATAAATATTTAAGAAAATAATTGAATAACAAGTCAGAACATCAGGATCCAAGCCCATGGTCTACCACTTATTATGGGTGCCACTGTATTTGTTTAATCAGGAAAAGGGATAATATTCCATCCAGTCTATCACCAAACACTTTTGTGACTATCAAATAAGAGATGTGGACTTTTTTTAATAATTCATATAAGTGTCAAAAACATGTGAATATTTGTTTATTATCAGAAATAATTATTTTTTCCTATTAATGACCCATTTCAAATGTTATGAAAATATATGTTAAAAATAATTTCAGAAAACTCTTTAATCAATTAACAGACAGTGAAATATTAAAAGAGACTAGCCTGAAATATTACACATTATTACCTGGGAGGAGAATCATCCTGCTTTTTAAATCCAGGAGGAAGGGCTGGTCCAAAAAACCCATCATCATCATCTTCGTCCTGATTTCTCCTCTGTTTCCTGAAAACACAGTAGTAGATCTTAATGCATATATCAAAAATTTCTCATAAAGAAAAATTTTAATTTTTAAAGGAAGTATTAAGTTTAACTAATTGTGTAAACACTAAATCAATAAATTAATCTTGCCAAATAATAAAAAATGGACAATATAGTAGTTCTTAATTAATCTTTTCCTGGAATTTATTTTTTGGCTTAAAATAGAGATTGGTCATATTTTAAAGAGGTACTATATCAGTATTCTATATTTTCTGTAGTATTAAAGATTCCACTAAATGGAAGAAGATTTCACTAAATGTTTCTTAGTGAAAAGCATATGAGTTTGGCTTTTAGTCTCACTTAAGGGTCTTTTTGTCTCATAATTTTTTTAAAAAATATTTTTATTAGTTATAGATGGACACAATGCCTTTATTTATTTTTTATGTGGTGCTGAGAATCGAACTCAGTGCCTCACACATGCTAGGCAAGTGCTCCACCACTGAGCCACAATCCCAGCCCTGTCTCATAATTTTTTAAATGCATCAAAATACCTTGTTACCCAATAACAAAGATACAACTTCTTATTTACATGGATCCAGGGTGAATGAGGGTAGATTAGAAGAAAATCATTGATTTATTTAAACAAATATCTATTGTATATACAATTTTAAATAAAAGAAATTCTGTGGTTTATTTAGTATATTTAGTCACTTCAATATACTTTAAGAAAAAATTCTTTTATAAGAATTTTATTGAAATTTTAAATATCTCCACAGCCTATACACTACTGGAATAAATTTCTTTGTAAAAGGTTTAGTTTATGATGGAATGCCACATAAAATCATTTCTTCCTGCACTATATAAATATCCCTTTACTAGCTATCAGTTCCAGTCAACTTATGCTAGGTCTGCAACTTGGTTTGTTAAATTTAAGTGACTTACCTTGCAGTTGGACCAGTGTCATCTTCTTCGGATTCTTGATTTCCTTCTTCAGACAAAGAACTACTGTCCTCATCACTGTCTGATGAATCTGAACTACTGCTTTTATAATTAGGGGGCAGAGCTGGTCCTGCAACTAAAGAAGATTTGTTGTGTGTATCATAACTAGACTTGACTATTTAACTGAGGCCTCCTAGCTGATATTTTTCACTTTCTTTTCTGAAATTCACAGCACTGGCTGCCTATCATTTATTATGGACTTGGATCTAAATCTCTCCTGTGTTTGTCAGAAAGACAAAAACTCCAGGAAGGCTGAAATCAGATCTTATACCACTTCTTTTATGAAAGTCACAAAATCTTTAATACCCAAACTTATAACAAATAACATATTTCTCTGATATTACCAATACGGCTTCTGATTATGTTTTTTATCAACAGCATATGGTAAGCAACATTTATGTCATGGAGCTAACCAACCAACAAACTTGCCATTCCATACCATATGTATTGAAAATAAAAAATGATTCATTCTGATTTCTAACAGCTACAACTTTAAAAAATATCTTTACTGGCATCACAATATTTCTCAGTTTTCTTTTCAATCTGATTTTTTTAAGCACAAACAAAATTAGTCACCGTCATTTTTACTGCTTGATCGTAGAAAAAGGAAAAAGAATGAGGCTACACTGTGGTAGAGATGCTGGGAAGAGGGTGAGGGTCTTTGAGGACAACTTGCTAGAGTACTTTGCTCAGCAAAATTAAAAATTACTGCCTGGTGTCAATGCATGATATTACATAGACACAACTGTCCATGCTAATCCTCAGTGGTGATGCCAAAAGTATACTGTACTAATTCCCCAAACTGGATGTTTATCAGACTAGTCAAAACATTACCAAACCCCCCCCCCAAAAACCAAAAAAACCAAAACCAACCAACCAACCAACCAAACAAACAAACCTGAGCCCCTTTCTCAGAGATTATGATTCAATTGGCCTGAAAGAAGGCCTGAAAATATAAATTTCCAAACAGCATTCTGAGTATGACAGTCATTAAACGACAAATAACATGTCTTGAGTTCTTATGTTCTGGGTACTGTTTAAAGAGGTCTATATTCATTAACTTATTTAATTCTGACAACAATTTCACTAGGGAGGTATTATTCTTATTTCTATTTTACAGATGAAGAACTGAGGCACAAAAAGATTATACGTAACTTGCCCAACTTCACACAACTAAACAGTGGAGCTGGGATATGACACACCAGCGTGATTTCAGAGCCTATTCAAACAAGAGGATGAGTCTTATGCTTCCTTGACTACTAAACTGACCAATATTCAACAGAGTCAACATCCAACCACCCATCCAACAAATATTTATTGAACAAATACTTCCAAAGAAGCAAACATAAAAAGAAAGAAGATCAATCCAGATAGTTGAAGTGCTGCTACAAAATAGGAAAATACGTGGGAGAGTAATTTTTAAAAATTTTATTTTTGAGATAGGTTCTTGCCAAGTTGCCCAGACTAGCCTTGAATTTTGATCCTCCTGCCTTAGCCTCCTGAGTAGCTGAGATTACAGGTATTTGCCACCACACCTGCCATGTGAGAGGTTTCTAAGTAGTCAGGAACACCTCCCTGAGAAGGCCTTTAGATGAAATTAAATGATGAGCTGACTGGCCATGCAATGATCTAAAAGAATAAGATTCTAGCCACATACAGTGTGTATGCCTATAATTCCAATGACTCAGGAGGCTAAGGCAGGAAGAATGCAAGTTTGAGGCCAGCTTCAGCAACTAAGTGATACTCTGTCTCAAAATAAAAATAAATAAATAAAAGAACTGGGTATGCAGCTCAGTGGTAAAACACCCTTGGGTTTAATCCCTAGTATATGTAAATCAATAAATCAGCATTTTAGATAAAAGAGTCTGTGGGGGCGGGGGGAATCCTATGGAGAGAACAGGCTTTATACACTCAAGGAACAAAAAGGCCAGCATGGCTAAAGCAAAGTAAAATGACAAGATGAAGCTGGATGGCATAAAGGGGCAAGATTCTGTGCTTTGGAGTCAGATTCATTGACCCTGAATTACAGCCCAGTCACTTATTAGCTGTGTGACTTGGAGAAGTTACTTAACCTTCCTGTGTTACAGTCTTGCTTTGTAAAAATGAGGTTAGCAATAGTTTCAACTTCCCATGATAGTTGTGAAGACAACATCAGTTAATACATGCAAAGTATCTGGAGTAATAAGTGCTTAATAAATGTGAGTATAGGCTATGAAATGGAGTTTGGATTTTAATTACAACAGGCAGTTATAAGGAGGTTTTCAGTCAGAAGAGACCTGAATTAACTGAAATTTTTTAAAAAAAACTGCTTTTAGACAATAGATGAGATATTAAGACTAGGAAATATATATTAGAAAGTTAAGAAATGGTTTTATCTGCAACATACTTTGGAGGAAGAACAAAGAGGATCTGCTAATCATGTAGATGTGAGAAGTGAAGGGGAAAAAATCAAACAAGAGTATGAGTCTTATAACTGGATGGAAATGGTATTCTCTCATGTCGGGAGACTTCTAAACTAAGAGAAGAGGTTTAGTGGAAAGAGTCAAGGTTTGTTTTTCACAGGCAGTACTTGAGCATACTAGTGTAAACCTCAGGGGAGAAATTAAGGCTAGTTTTGGGATCACTGACCTACTTCTAAAATTTTTTTCCCTATCTGTTCTGGAGTATTACTATAGAACAAGTGATTTTATTTTTTGAAATTGCAAATAAAAAGTTTAACTTCAGAAACTGAATTCATCATTTATATACAGTAAAGCATAGTCCACTCAAATTTAGGATAAGTATACGTACAGCACTTCAACAAAACAGCTTTCCTAAAAGGTCACAGGCAGATGAGTGATTCCTCTCACCCAGAACACTTACGATTTGAAATGAAAAAAACCTTTTTTTAGAGGTTAAAGCAAAAACTTTGAAGACATATAGAACAAGTGCTTATACTCAATAAGTCGACTTAAAAATTCAAAATTAAGTATTAAAAAATTTGATGTATTTTCAGTATTTGTATCTTTAAAGGAAAGAGTTTTAGAAAATAAATGTTAAACTTCCACTATTGCATTGCCTTACAGTAAAGCAGCAAAAAGAGGAAAACATTAAAACTTAAGAATCACATTCATACCTATGTCTTCTGTTCACGGATTTATTGAAGAATACTTAATGCCTCAGTATGCAAATGTCCCCCAACTATAAATGTGATTATATCTGACCTCTGACCTCGATGAATAATTTGTCCTGCTAGGAGATTAGGGAACTGTGTTTTGCTCTCATAGTGAATAGTTCTTTTCATCCTGTTCTTGGTTTTAAATATTAAAGAGGGATTTTTTTCTCTTTTATTTCTTCCTTTTCTTATATGTGGGTGCTATCAATGTAACTATCAAGTGGACACTACTGGAGAGTTTTAGATTGGTTTGTATCAAAAAAGAAATTTTATTATTCTTTTATACGATTCAAGTGATTAAAGAGCTTAATATGGTCTAAATATGTGCTGTCCTTGGTATTATAACTAACAGATAAATTTGCCTCGAGTTTTAAAAGTAGGATATAAATTTAAAAAGAAGAATAATCCTAGTGACTTGGGAGGCTGAGGCAGGAAGATTGCAAGTTTGAAGCCAGCCTCAGCAATTTAGCAAGGCCCTAAGCAATTTAGCAAGACCTGTCTCAAAACAAACAAACAAACAAACAAACAAACACCCAGAATAAGCAGATAAAGATAAAACTCAACCAAGAACACATGTCCTTATCTTTTAAAATGATGATGCAAATAAGTGACATTTAGTACATAAAATCATCAATATCTATTTTATTCTGTTGGCAACAGAGATTGAACCCAGGGCTGCTCTACCACAGAACTACAGCTCCAGCCCTTTTTATTTTATATTTTGAGACAGAGTCTTGCTAAGTTGCTGAAGCTGGCCTCAAACATGTGATCCTCCTGCCTTAGCCTCTCCCCGAGTTTCTGGGATTACAAACATGCACCAAATCATTAATTTCTATTTGAGCTGAATCAAGAGAAATAAGTATTATATAAGGAAATAACAGAATACTAAGAGAAGGTAAAATAAAGAAAAGGAATATTGAAAGTGCAAATGAATCTACATTATTGACTTCCTAATAAAATTAAGGACATTCCTGGCTTTATTTTTTTTATAAGTTTCTGTCTTCTGAACTATATAATTTATCTCAAAAATGATCTTAGGCACATGTAATGAACTTTTTCATATCTTTCCTAAATCTGTGACTCTTATGATTAAGAAGCTCCTCTTGAGGCTGGGGATACAGCTCAGTTGGTAGAGGGCTTGCCTCGTGTGTGCAAAGCCCTGGGTTCAATCCCCAGTATCACCAAAAAAAGAAGCTCTCCCTCTGCAATGGTAATTTTACATCATTACAAGTTCCATGAGAACAGGGGTCATGCTTAGGTTTCATTATAGTTTCCTTGCAACATCCATCACACAGAATTATGCATATAAAACTGGACTCAGTATAATATATAAAATCTCATTACAGTCAGCATTAACATTAACAGATGAATATCTGCAATTGCTTTGTTTTGCAATTGATTTTGATGTTTGGGGACATCAACCCTGAATCCCAATTAAATGAAATGTTATACCTCCCCCCCCCCCCAAGGTAATGCCATTCTTCTCATTAGTAGACTTGTTAAAAAAAAAAAAAAACAAACCTATACTCCATCATGTTATGTTTTGAATTGCAACAAAAATTTGCAGACATTTGAGTTGGGTACAGTGGCACATGCCTATAATCGCACCTACTTGGGAGATCGACACAAGAAGATTCCAAGTCTGAGACCAGCCTGGCAACTTAGCAAAATAAAACACATAAAGGGTTGGGAATATAGGTTAGTGGGAAAGTACCCCTGCATTCAATCCTCAGTACTGAAAAAAAAAATTGTTTTCTCTTGTTATATATATGTTAATCTGCAAAGCCTAAAATATTTATTATCTGGTCCTTTACATGAAAAACGCTTACCCCATAACACGATTAAGCTATGGAAGGAGCACCCAACCTAGTCTTTCACAGGCCATAGGTAGAAATGTCCAGAGAACGTTTCCTAGAAAAAGTGATGGTTGACTGGAGCCTAAAATATAAGAGAGTTAGCTAGGTAAAGCGGGTGAGGATTGAAAAAAAAAGTCATTTGATCAGAAGGAAATGTATCTGCTAACGAGTAAAAGCAAAGAAGCCCAGCTCACAGAGAACTGAAAAGTGTTTGGGATGGCTGAGACCAAGAGGGGAGAGAAGGAAGGATCAGTGGGGTTACATGCTACTATGAGGTCAAGCAAGATCAGGAATGAAAAGAAGCCTTGAATTCACCAATAAAATGATATTTATTTCCACAGAGAAATTGGTGAGGGCAGTCTCAGTGGCCTGGCAAGAGCAGGAGCCAGGAGGATGCAGTGGGTTAGGATAAAATGGAGGATCCAGGGACAGTAAGAGAAGAGCAGCTAGTGGGAGGTATGAAGTAGAATTTTCTTAAAAGATGGGAAAGATTTGAACATGTGGTTAAATGTTAAGGGTGTGAAGCCCTGAGAAAAAAGAAGGAATCAGAGTAAAATGTAGACTTTGTTTTGGAAGGGCACAAGACACCTCTTCCACTGTTATGAAAGGAAGACAAAAATAAATTCAAGAACATTTTTAGTTATTGTAACCAACTTCTGGGAAGTTCTATTATGATGGCATCCACTTTGAAGTACAAAGAGAGATACAAAGTTTAAGAAAGAAAAAGAAGGTATTAAAAAGCCACAGTGGCTCAGTGGTAGAATCCTTGCTCAGCATGTGCAAGGCCTTGGGTTCAATCATCAGAAACACACACACACACACACACACACACACACACACACACGTGAGTGCGTGCCAGGGATGCTAATGTGGGGAAGAAACCTAAGTGAAACCTGTGAGGATTTCTGGGCAGAATTAAGGAAACAGGGAAGAGACTATAATTTTTAGTATCATTATTCTATGGAAGTCTGAGATTTCTCTTAGCAGCATTTGGCAGCCTAGACATAGGCTTACTGAGATAAACCTTTGTAGTGATCCAGGGCTATGTTTCTTTTCTGCTGGATGGGTTTAACAGAATACTTGATGAAATAAGGAAATGGAAAGCACCAGCAAAAGTGGATGGGCCCTAGAGTCTAGGTAGATCAGGGACAAAAATAATTGAAGAGAGAATCTAGACACATAGAGACTGGACAGCTCAATGAGGTAAAAAAAAAAAAAAAAAAGATAAAAGACAAATGGGATAGGAGTAACTGAGTGAGGATGATGGGTTAATAAGGCGTTTCTGCTGAGAATGAGATCTGAATTTAAGTTTCTGGAGGTAGGACAGGGTCCAGAATGTGACTATAAATGCAGCTTCAATTAATGGAGGTAAAAGTCACTATAGATCAGGAACTAAAGTTAGTGTCACAATGGCCAAAGCTTCACTTAGGTTTGCAGAGGAACATCTGAAGCATGTGGATTGGTTTTAAGAAAACGTTTGCACCTCACTGTTTTTAACATGACATGATTTCAGGGGACATTTTCAAGCAGTCAATTTCCAGAATATATATTTGAATGATGTTTACTCATTCCATCACAGATCTATGATCTCCTTCCTCCTCTGAACTGGTCAACCTCATCAGTGATTTTTTTTTCTTAATTAGCCTGAGCATGAGGAACACAGGGCAGATATCATACTGGGTTCAAGAATCTTCACTTGAAGGAAATTCTGTTGTGTGGTAAATGGATGAAACATGAAGTCGTTTTGGTAAGTGAAATAAGACAGTTACAAAACAACAATAACAATAGTAACAAATACTACTGTTTGGTTCCACTTATGAGATACTTATAACAGTCAATTTCATAAAAGCAAAAAAGAAAGTAGAATGATGATTACCATGGATTGGGGGAGGGAGGAATGGGGAATTTTGTTTAATGATACAGTTTCAGTATTGCAAAATAAAAAAGTTCTAGAGATGAATGATGGTGATGGTTACACAACAATGTAAATGTACCTAATGCCACTGAGTACTTAAAAATGGTTAATATGATATACCTCAGATTACATATATTTTGCTAGAATATGAAAGAAAAAAATAACAACTTAGATTCACATATATTGGTCACCCTAAGGAAGGTGATGACATTGTAGTACAGCAGAGAAGGAATAGTTAGTTCAATATGGGCCAGGCCAACTGAAGACCCAGAGGAGGAAAATACTTCATCCCTACTTTATACTACAAGCAAATATCAATTACAAATGGATTGTTAAAGTAAACATGGGAGCTGAAACAACAATGCTTTTAGAAGAACACATAGAATAGCTTTATAACCTTAGAATAGGCAAAGATTTCTTGAATAGAATATAGAAAAAATTACAAATCAGAATGCTAAAAATTTCTGTTCATCAAAACATACCGATGAGAGAGTTAAAATAAAACTATAGAATCAGAGGGGCTATTTCTATCCACTCTAATGCATATATCCGAAAAGTGACATATCTAGACTATATAAAGAACTCTATAAATCTCAATGGAAAAATGAGCAAATGACTTGTACACATGTCCAAACGGTCAACCAACAACCCCCACTCCCAAGAAAAGATTGTCAATTAAAACAACCACGAGATTCTAGCTAAAAAACATCAGATTAAAAAGACAGAAAACTAAGTATTACGGAGAACACAAGATAACTAGAATTCTCATACATGATGAGAAGTTTGGTACTTTGAAGCTGGAAGAATCTTCCATAAGACATGTATTACAATGCACAGTACACAACTTTTTGTTCAGGCAAAAAATGGAAACCACTCAAAGTCCATCAATATTAAAATGGATAAATAAATTGCAGAACATTCACCCAGTGGAATTTACCTACATTTTTTCTTCAACCTTCAACAAGGAAAATCCCTGAGGATAAATGCTTGGGAGAGTTGGGAAAGATTTCGCTGAAGTAACACTTAAATTGGGCCTTGAAGACAGATAGGAGGTTGTCAGAGAGGTCTGGTAAGTTCAACCTGAGGCCCGAAGAAAGCACAGAGTTGAGGAAGCGTGCAGAAACTCGGACTAGTGTGAGTACTGAGCTGTGAGCATCGATGGAATGACAAAATGAGAGCTAAGCAGGCAGGTCTGGGACTAGAGGGTATCGGATCTTCTGCCAAGGTCTTGAACGTTAGAAAGCACTACTGGGAAGAAGCTAGGGGAGCAGCTTCGTTCTAATGTGGGCTCCACTACTGATGAGCTGAGTGATCTGGGCATCTCTTGGCCTCACTTGTCGGTGTCCCCACTTGTAACACAGGAAGTTCTTTCCTTACACAGTAGCGAGGAGGAATTGAACGACTGAACGTGTACTCATCAATTAGCACAGCGTTGCGGACATGGAGCACCTAGTGGGAATGTATCGTCGTTCGGACCAAAGCTCGGTTTCTGAGGAGCCTTCTCCCCATTGGTAGGACTTGGGAAGGAGAGTAAGCTCGCGGCGGCCCGCACCCATTCCCCACTCCTCCGCCTTCGTGTGCCTCAGACCTTTTCTCAGACAGCAGGGCCGGACCAGAGAGGGAGCGATGGGCCTGGCGGGCAGGGGACTTGCAGCCGCTTACCCGGGCTCGGGTCCCGCTCCTCGTCCTCTGCTGTCCCGCGGGCCTTGAAACCAGGCGGCAGCGCCGGCCCTATCAGGTCCCTGGCCATCCGCGTCGGCGGACACTGATCACCCGTCAACCCCTATCAGTGCGGTTCAAATCTACCCCAAACGCAGCCCCGGACGCTCCGCGGCTGCTGGAAGTCTTCCGGCGCCGACCAATGATGTAACAGCTTGTGATTGGCTGAGCCGTGAAATTCGCAGTAACGGAAGTGATGTGTAAGGCCTGTTACACAGACGCACGCTGGGCTCCCAGCTTAGAAGAAGGTAGCATGGCAGAGCCAGGTAGTAATTTTATGAGCCCTCCGGGGTGGTTTCCAGCCCCCGAACCGACTCCCAGGTTGGGGCCCATGAGCAACGCCGCCCCTCCGCGGGACAACTGGGTATTCTGGGCAATGCTGCCGCCAATGCCGCCTCCTTCGTTGCAGCCTGCTGCCAGATCAGAGCATTCATTTGAGGCGCAGCCCCGGATGAAGGTCCAGCCTCTCTCCGGGGCGCCACCCCCCTTTGATGCCCAGATTCTGCCCGGGACGCAGCCCCCCTTCGACTCCCAATCCCCCCTTGATTCTCAGCCTCAGCTCAGCGGCCAGCCTGCTTGGAAGTTCCAGGCTTCGACATCTTGGTCCTGGGGACAGTCTCCTGGTGCTTTCCCTCATCAGCAGAACTCCTGCAGTCCTCCAGGTAGGCTGTGGTTCCTTGCGGTACCACCCTTTATCCCGCTTTCTGTTCCTACCTATCCCATTTCTTTTTTCCTCATTATCACTCTGCCCTGTACTCTTGGAGTCTGGTAATTGATGTCTCAAAATATGTTCTAATGGAATGATTCCCCTGCCTGCTCATTCATTAGCTGTTGTTTCTTGAATTCCACCTATATATGAGGAGCTGAGAATATAGCAGTGAAGAAATCAAAAATCCTGTCTTTGTGGAGCTTAGTATCTCCCTAGTGTAGTAAGATAGACAATAAACAGAATTGTGAATTAGAAGGTAATGAGTGCTGTTGAGAGAGATAAAGAAGAATAATGGTGTAATTTTAAATTTCATTGGTATTCATTGGAGCAGATTTCTGGGAGGTGAGAGATCAGAACTATGCATACTTCTGAGGAGGAATGGAGGCAGAAGGAAAGGTAATGGTGAAGGCTTTCAGGCAGAAGCTGTACATCTGATTGAAAACTACTGTGGCTAGAGAAGATTGAGCCTGGGGTACAATTGTAGAAGATTGGGAAGGAGGGCAAACTTCATAGGTCCTTGTGGATGAGGGTAGAACTTGAGGGCAGACTTGGTAGGTCCTTGTAGATGATGAGACTGGCTTTTATTGTTATGAGATGGGTAGTGCAGGAGAGTGTCCTGATCTGATTTGTATTTTAAGAGGAACCCTACGGCTGTTGATGGGAATTGACTGAAAGGGAGATTGTTAGAAAGTTACTGCAGTTGTTCCAGTGATATTGGGGACTTGGATCAGGTAGAGATCTGGGGGTGAGAAATAATCAGATGAGAACTAATTAGACCCCAGATATATTTTAAAGGAAGGATCAAAATGATTTGCTGAAAGATAGAATGTGGTGTATGAGAGAAATTTTGCCAAATGACTGGAAGGATGGAGTGGTTATTAACTGAAATAGGGCAGAGTGGATGAATCAGATTTAGAAAACTGGGAATTGAGCTTGTAAAACAAAGATTGTTCACTTAAAATCATTATCCAATTCATTATAAAACCCAGTATACATTAAATTGAATTCAAACAATTAGTGTTTACTGTGTACTGGATGTAGGAATATGAATTTGCTAGGTCAGATTTGGTATGTATAAATCACAGCACAATATGTTGGGTGATAGAGGCATATAAAAGGTAGTTTTTAGAATGCAGAGAAAATTGGGAAAAGTTTTTAGAAGCCTTAGGAGATCTGTAGAATTTGGGAAGAGCTACTTCTTAGGTGGAGTTAAAGAGGTATCAGTATAACATGAGTTTTAGAGATTGTAGTGTTCTGGTGTGACTGAAGCAGAGTATGTGGAAATTATGGGGAAAGGGTGGGATGAGAAAATAACCTGGAATCTCACTTTAGGAAGCCATTTGCAGATTTTTTGGGATCTTGGGTAGTGTTGAGAATAGAACCGAAGGCCTTATGCATGGTAGGCAAGTGCTATACCACTGAGCTATATCCCCCCTTATTTGCATATTTTTGACCCTGATTGACGTTATTGGAGAAATATTTTTGTGATATCGAAATGCAAGGTCTGTTGGAAGAGAGGGGTTAGGCACTGGAAAACAATCTAGAAAGCTGGCACAGTAACATAGGCAGAAGATCAGGGTTTCTAAATCATGTCATGAGAATGGAAGGGAGTAGAAAGGGTGGGCTTTGAAAGGAGACATATTTCACAACTTTTTGTTTTCCTGGTGTGAAATTGATGCTGAAGGATTAGGACTAGGGATTTCACTAGTTACATTTCTTTCTTTCTTTCTTTCTTTCTTTCTTTCTTTCTTTCTTTCTTTCTTTTTTTTAAGCATTTTTTAACCTTTATTTATTTTTTATGTGGTGCTGAGGATCGACCCAGTGCCACACACAACCCTACCCCTCACTGGTTACATTTCTAATATTTAAAATAACTCAAAGAATTTCATCAGGTTTAGAGTGTTCATTCCTGTACTAGGTACCTAACACATATATGGACATGTAATCTCACCAGTATTTCTTCATTTGAAAAAATCATTAATCATAGTCTTTGCTAATTTGTTAGAACTGCTATTCTTCTTATAATGGGTAGTTTACCGGTGTTTTTACTCAAGTATCTGTGATGTAAATTAAATAGTAAATTAAATTGTAAATAATTGAGCAGTTGCAAACATTAATGGATCTGTTTTTGTTTTTCAGTTAATCATTCTTATTTTCCACCAAAATATGATGCAAAATTCACTAATGTTAACTTCTCTCCTGGCAAAAAACAGAAAAAAAAGGTATTTCTAAGATTTCTTGACTATGATGGTTTGATTCTTCTGTTACTGTTATTTTATCTTTTGTTTCTATCATATCTATTTCAATGTTTTGCATTCATTATTGACATAGTAGAGCTTTGCTGCAATACGATTTTTAAGGATCTTAGCTGTAAGTAAAGACTTAAAGCAAAATTGTTTTGAAAAATGAGTGAAGAAATTATAGAAAAAGAAAACATTGAATCTTTTTCAATACAATATTAGGAGTAAAAATAATTGAGAACTACAATTACAAATACTGTAAATGTTATTAGAATTTGATAACTTAAAAACTTACTAGCAGATTGAGAAATGAGGGATGGAATTTTGGGAGATTAGAAGTCCAAATTTTTTCTTATAAGCACGTATTTAAAAACACACTATAACGACTTTGTTTTTTCATAATCTTTTTTTTAACAGAGAAATGCCTTTTAAGAATGGGTGTCTACAGTAAAAAAGTAGTAGCTTCTGTTTCTTTTTCTTGCATTAAAATTGGGTTAATTTAGTATTTAGTTATCCTGTATGCATGAAGTAATATCTGAAACTCAGACAGGATTTTTGTGCTATAAATGTTATTTATTGTTTATTCATTTTAATATTTCAGTTTTTTCAAAAGTGGGCATCTATCATTTTATGAAAATGTCTTATTTTTAAAAATGAGCAACAGTTTAACCACACTATAATTATATGCTTATACTTCAGAAGCATAATGCTTTATTAAGATAACTTCCTTTATTCTATAGTTTACAGATCAGATCTTTTAAATTTAAAATCTATAAACAATGCTATTAGTTTAGAATAAGTTGGATCCGTCTACAACATGAATTTAGTGTCCTTCACTTGACATGAAAATTTTGTGGCTTATGTTTACAAAATATTGTGCAAGTGCATATATTTATTAACATAATCCTAGCATTAAAGAATTGGAGTTCTATTTTCTATATATTCTATCATTATAATAAGCTTTTTGTTATGTTTAAGCATAAAAATAGCAAATTGTGACTCAGAAACAACTAATCATTACCGAAATGATTCTTTGTCCCCCTTCTGTGATTTTTTAAAAAATTCATGAAATAGTGCTTTACCTAAAAGATGAAATGTAAGTTTACCTTAAATATTTATTTTTAGATCCTTTGACATCTTCTGTACTGAGTCTTAATTAGATTGCCAATTCAAAATTGACTCATAGTTTACATTAGATTAAATCTAGTTAGATTTACATTTAGTTATATCACACAAGTATGTGTTACTAGGCAGATAGTTACATTTGTATTATTGACTTGAGATTTACCCCCAAAAGCCTAATCCCTCTTCTTTTTTTGTTTACAGAAAAGAAAGGAACAAGTTTTTCACTTATTCTGTGATACCTGTGATCGTGGTTTTAAAGATCAAGAAAAGCATGACAAACACATGTCTGAACATACAAAAGTAGGTTTCCTTGGTTGTTCTGAAATTTATGTAGCAAAATGAAATATATATTTTATATATATTTTTGACAGAAAATTCGGAGTGTGTGTTTCTTAAAAGTTCGTAGTTGTTATAGAAATGTTCTTTGATGACTTGATGAATAGAGACAGTGGCATTGGAGTTTGTGGTTTGAGAGAGGGATGCCCTCTGCTTCAGGGATAGTAAGATACCAGCATAGAAGGGAGAGGTGGCAGCTCTTTGAACATGAGCACCTCCACTGCTTGTTAAAAGTTAGGTCCTTCCCTCTCATTGTCCTGTGCATCTTTGTAAATTCTTTTTCCTTAAAGAGGTTAAGGCTCAAGGTCAAGGTTAAGGTCCCTTGACTATTTAACCACACTATAATTTGCCTTAGCTCACCACCTTGTAAAGATGCTGTGGATCTTAAGTATTTTTTGAAAAATTTTATCTAGAATGTTTTTAAAAGTTAAAAAAAAAAAAGAAAAAGAAAGTTCTTAGTTTGAAAAAGTTCTCTCTTCATTTATAGAAATATTCTTCAACTTTAGCACATTTTATAGCATTGCCGATGTCAAGCTTTTTACCTAAATGAAGTAAATGAAATATACTGTGCTATATACTTTGAAAATGTTATTTCTTTTTTTTTCTCTTTTCTTTCTCTCTTCCTCCCTCTCCTTTCTTCTTTTCTTCCTTCCTTCCTTCCTTTCGATTTAACCCAGGGGTGCTCTACTTTAAGCTACTAGGGATTTAGCCCAGGAGTT